AGTGACGCTCGCGCGGTATTTGCATACTCTATCACAGATGAAGTGAATTAAATGCAATATTTGTCAAATACACAGACGTTTCAGAAACGTTTTCATGAGCAACAGAAATACTGATTATATACTGCTTAATACATCGCCATCTGTTCAAGAATAAAGTTAAATGTAAATATATACAATACACACATTTTTCAGAAACGTTTTCATGAGCAACAGAAACACTTTTTATATACTGCTTAATTCAGCGCCGTCTGTTCAAGAATAAAGTTCCACGTAAATATATACTATTTAAATACTAATAAAGTGGGGGTATATATGCTTTCATGATAAACGTGACTCAATATAACATTGCGACTACAGTAAACAAGCTTTTAATGTTCTAAAAACACAGATTTATGAGCAGTATTGGATTTGAAGATGTTAGAAACACACGTCATTGTTGTCATGTGGTGAATTTGGCCAATCGTGAAACAGCTGTGTCGTCATCAGCGCTCCTGCAGTCGCTCTGAAAAAGCTGCGCCAGCTGAGTCAGCCGGCTGCTCTCGAAACGCTATCGCGGTACTTTGATGCCACACGTGACAGTGACGTAGAGTCGGCGCCGGTTCAAGTCGGACAAAATTTCTGACCGGCATGCACTGCTTCAAGTCAGCCGCCAATCGGTTTGCGTGGCATGAAGTCGAACGCACCTACACTTGGATGTGGGTGGGGTTGTATTGGGCATGGGCGTGGCTTCTGATGTCACACTTGGATGTGGGCAGGGTTGTGTTGGGCATGGGCGTGGCTTTTTATGTCACACTTGGATGTGGGCGGGGTTGTGTTGGGCATGGGTGTGATGTCTGATGTCACACTTGGATGTGGGCGGGGTTATATTGGGCATGGGCGTGGCTTCTGATGTCACACTTGGATGTGGGCGGGGTTGTATTGGGAATGGGCTTGGCATGGGCATGGGCATTTAATGAGTGTTTTTTAAAGCTCTGCCAGACTATAAAGACAGTTCTTACACATATTTCCAGAGCTTTAGTATAAACCAAACATTGAGCAGTAAATGAACATATTCCTGTTCTTGTAAGATTAATTTTGCCCTTTGATGATTTGTTATTGTAAAGTTTGATTCTTGCTGTATATTCAATTAGTCAGTGTAAATATTTTAATCTGAATGAATGAATATGCCTGATTTCTGTGAGTTGTGTCCTCTAACAGACTATGTGGATTCACACTTGTAAGGCCGTTCTCACCCAGAGCAAACATTCACCGCACAGCAGATGAGCTGAAACAGTGCATTCCAATGGACAGGCTATTTTGCTGTTGATTTTGCTTTGCTTTCTCATTCTAAGAGTAAATGGGCCTTTATGCATTTTTGCTCATAAAAAGGAGTCAAAGCATTTTTCTGGACTTGACATCTATGAAAAGCATTAATGTAATCTCTTGGACTCCAAGAGAAAGTTGAGTAAGCCACACAATTGATGTGAGTCTTGCCTGAGGAGTTGATCGGCAGGAGCGAGACGCACGCTGTATTTGGTCAGGGTGAGTGCTGAAATGTATATCCACCGGCTGCAGAGAGTGTGATGAACTGCTGAAGAAACTCACACGATTGCATTCCATTGGGTTTTGCTACTCCGGAGAAAACGCGGCCTTCCACAGAACTTTTCCCTGCCATTCATGGTCAGCGGTATTTACACGCATGCACTCACACACAAACACACCAACGAACCTAATCGCACGCATTTCCCCAACCACACATTTGCGATTCACTCTAAGTGAACGACTCGCATTAATGACCTTCATTTTATTTCCATTTCAGTTTAAATATGACTTTTGTTGGTTGAGAGTATAGAATGAACTAACCCTGTTTCTAGAACTGTTGACTATCAGTTTGTTGCTGCCAGAGGCTCTAGCTAAACTTTGTGCTCTGTGTTTACTGCAAGATACTCAGCCTGCTGCTTTGCTGTTTTACAATTTATTTGTATTTTCCTGTGTTACCAACTGCTTAAACAGTTACTCTTGATTGATTGTTACCCTTTTGGAAGCTGTAGGGAGGTGTGAGTCTTTTTTTGTTCAGAAACTGTTTTCTCCTGGTTCAAGGATTAGATATGGAGTGAGTGTATAATTTTGTTGTTGATTTTCTTTTCTTTGATAGGTTTAGAAAGAATTTAACCCCCAGAATAGAAATGCTTTTATTTATTTTAGCTTGGTTGCCCCTCATTAAGTATTTTGCTTCTCTCTTAATTTACACTCTTTTTGTTTGAAAATCATGTATACTCTCTGAGCTGTTAATAAAACCTGTTAAAGTGATCTTGTTGTAGTTGTTGTGCTGTTAGTTCCAACCATAATTAAACACACCCGATCCAGCTAATCACGTCCTTCAGGCTTATTTGAAAACTACATGGTGTGGGTGTTGGAGCAGGGCTGGCACTAAACTCTCCAGGGCTGTGGGCCTCCAGGAACGGAGTTTGACACCCCTGTCCAAGACACTTGTAAGACGTAACCGTGTGTTTCAACAAGTAGATTGTGTCAGGGTGTAAATACCAATACTGTTTTAACAAGGTATTTCTTCACTAGCCATAGTTATCTGACATTTAGAATTACATTTTAATGCATTACAATTAAAAATTAGATAACTCAGAAGAGATAAATATGCAATTATGAACTGACAAGAATCATAAATATAATAATGTCTGTAAATGTTACAGAAAAATAAATAAACAAATAAATGTTCCCAGAACACCGATTAAATGTGAATTGTGACTTAAGGTAAATTTTGTGTTTTAATTCACCTGTTTGTCTGCATCGCAGAAAGAGGACAACAGTCTGCAGTGGAAAATGTCTGTATATGTGAGGTATGATAATAACAGTGCTGTACAGATAAGATCAGATTAATTAAATCAAAATCAAAACGCACTCGCATGCTGAGAATATATCCTTCCTCCACCTGAGTCTTGATACCTGCTATGTGTGAATTATAAAAGTGAATTGTGTGAAAGCATGACTGAAACGGATAAACTGATGATTTGCTGGGAGATTGGAAGTTACACACACATTGATCATTGAAATGCTTCACTGGTCGCTCGGCATGAACATATCCTGCCCTTGCATTTGTATTTGTATATGTATATGTGAATTTGTGTTGTAAGGAACACAAAAAAAGACGCAATGAAAAATCACATAGCACCTAATTTACCAGCGTAATAAACATTATATTTAGAAGCTGAAATGACACAAGTTTGATGTGAGTAATAATGAAGGACATAGTCTTTATTATCATTGTATTGTGCAAAATACAATGATATTTGGAAACCCTATCGCTGCACACACACGCCACCATTTTGCTAAGGACATATATGCTTAATATACAAATAAACCTACAAATGACATCACAATGAACAAAACTTCTGAATGACATAGTTGGTGTAGGAATTGTTATTGACCACCAGATGGCGAAGTACAGCACTGTGCCAAAAGCTTCGAAGCACTGACACAGTTTGTTGTAAAAGCCTCACAGCTTCAGAAGCCTCATTCGGCACATCCCTACATTTTACTTTTACATTTATTCATTTAGCAGATGCTTTCATCCATAGTGACTTACAAATGAGGAGTTTTAGGGCCCAATAATTAAACCCTTGCTGGAACTAGTGATGTTAGGTCCAACACCAAAGCTTCGAAGTTTGTATAAAAAAAAAAACTCATTTCACATTAAAGCACTGTATCGGAGCTTGATTCGTTTTGTCAAAAGCACATGATCTATGACATCCGAAGCTTCATTCGTCTGAAAACCACGTGACCGTTTCAGTATCTGGTTCAAACAAAGCAAACCTCAGCACTGTTTCCTTTACATTATATTACATTTTAATGCATTAGCATTATGGTTTTTCCTAATATTGTAATGTAGCTTATATATGAAGCTCAAATGAACTTTGCCTATATATGAAATAACAGTCTAAGGACTGTGGCAGATTTAAAACAGACAGATTGTAGATTTAATTTAATAATTTATGAATTTATGGTTCATTTATTTTACTGCCAGTATGATGACACAAATGAATGACTTTGACAATGACCATTATTTATATACATAAAAATAAAATAAAGAATCAGTTGCAGAACCAGATGTGGAGCCACTGCCTGTAATGGAATACAGCACTTTGGAAGGTGCTATTCATTTTTATGAGATGGCCACAATGGTAAACCGTGTTAAAAAGCTTCGAGTAATGAGTCTTTTTCCGATACAATTGTTTGTTTTCAGAGAATCACGTGATCAACGAAAAACGAAGCCTCACATTCTGTCCAATCACGTGTGCGTGTCGGAGTGTTCGAACCCCCAGATCTTACTTTTATGAGTAAGTTTTCATTCAGACTTATTCAATAACATTTTAAATACCCAGTCATACAAGTAATATGAAGAATAAAAATTATTTTAGAGAAAATTTAATGTTTGGCATATGCAATTCATATATGTACACATCATTCTTCTATTACATCATATTGATATTCATATTGGCATTTAATGCCACAGTTTAAATTATTTTATCAGAGAGAAAAAAATTCAACAAACACACACACACACACACACAGGGATTTTTGTGGTCGCTGCTTCGTCCTACGGAGCATCTTTCACAGGGTTTTGGATGCTATATTTTTTATTAACCACCATATGTCACTGTTTTTGACACTCGCGAAGCTTTGAATCTTTTCCCGAAACAGTCAGAGGAAAGCCTCAGTGCTTCATGAGGCTTCATTTGCCCATCACTACATGGGCATTTATATCTGTGCTGTGGTGCATCATGGGATGTGGGAGAAACCAAACTAGAGGATTAAGTGGATTTTTGTTGTTTTCAAATTTAATTAGTGGAACTATGCATAAATGGCTGTTAAGTAATAATTTGTGGATTAATGCATGTACAAAGTTTATAATCTTGAGATTTGGTTTGATGAATGTAATTCCTTGTCGCTTGCATCCCCGTCAATGGTTGTGTCCATGAGTATAAATGCTCACAAACTGAAATTTCACAGGATTGTCAGTGTAAGATGGAGGTTGGAGAACGAGTAACCTGCTGGAGATTGAAATCATTGTGAATGAGAATATTTTTAATTTTGTTTTTTTTAACTTGTACTTTATTCTTGTAATTATTTACCTTGCTTGTATAGTTATGATTTTAATGGTACTGAAACATCTAATCCAGGGGTGGCCAACATTAGTCCTGGAGAGCCACAGTCCTGCAGAATTCAGATCCAACCCTAATCAAACACACCTGAACCAGCTAATCAAGGTCTGAGGGTGTCTAGAAAGCTGCAGGTGAGTCTTTGTCTGCATGTACAGTTTAAATGTGTGTGTGACCTGGATGTTAAGAGCTGCATCAAGAGAAACTGCCTCAGAGGAGCGTATTCAGTGTGTATTGTGAATGTATATTTCCATTAATGTCTCTTTAGTTTATCACTTTTTTTTTTTTTTTTTTTTTTTTTTTTTTCCCTCCCTTTTCAGGCAAGACTCAATGCTGGCACATTCTGAAGGAACTTCATTCTTATTTTGTTCAGAAAAAAACTGTGAGCTTGATGATTAATAGTTAATTGCAATTTCAAATGCTTAGTTGTTGCTGGAAATGGGTGAGTAACATTCAGAAATTCACCCACATAAATCTTGAGTAGGTTTATTTGTATATTAATTTGGTTCTGAGCAGTGCTGAAGCATAATGGTTTAAATTGTGGATGCAGACCAAATACAGTTGTTGCAAAGCATTGCTGTGCATGTGATTTAATCTGAGTAAAGCACCGTTTTTGTTGAACCCTTGATAGTCAACATCCTCAATGTTGTGCTGATTGTACAAACTGGAATTGATGAGTAAAAATGTTCTGATGCAAATTATGCTACAGCAGAAATTATGCAGAAATTCCTTTTTTAAAATGTTATTTCAAATTGTCAAAAGAAGTCTGGTATTAAAAAAATTGACCGTGCCAAAGCAGCTCTTTCCAACAACTGGCAAGGTAAGAGTCCTCCGAAGATTTGACTAAACCTCTTACAATATTTACAGCATTGTGCAAATTGGTGACCTTTACTTGGTCAACAGCTTACAATCCCTCTTTAAGCTCAGATATCAGATAGATGGGGCGCCCTAAACTTAGTGACAGGAGAAGTTAGATATTTGTCTAGCAATGTGCACACTAAAGAGTCTCAGGGTTCATTCATGGCTGCATTGATAACTGCTTGTTAATGTCAATTTACATTTGGTGACTGTTTGGGTTTTGAATTAACGCACTCCATTCCAAGCCTAACATTCAACACTTTCCTCTCAACCAAAATCAGTTCCATTAAAATTAGGATCCGTAGAGAAACTGGTTTGATAAATAGTTCTATTGTTTCAGTCTAAAGCAACTACCAATGTTAACTCAATGTTTTATCTGTAGTGTCTTCCTACAGGTAATCTGGACATTCTAAAGAGCTCACGTTTCTTTTTTCTTCATCTCCACTACTTGATGGAAGCCCACTCGTTGTTGACTGACAATGCTACAGAATTCCAGTCTTTTGATCTCATTTCATTATAAATGGCTCACTTCAGCTCACAGATGGTTCTGATTTCCACAAGCAGCTCAAAGTGTTCCCGTTACACATCTAAAAATATCAGTTACAAATGCAGCTTTTAGTTGTTTTTGTTTCAGTGAGTTCCTGACCATGTTAAAGGTGGATTCTCCTGGAAAATCAACAGCTGCTGAGGTGAGTCGTCCTGTGATTCTTAATATTCACAACACTGTGTATATTGCTCTCTTTACTGGGTCAAGCCATGTTCCTCAGAAAGCTTTGTGGTGGAGAATATGACCCTTTATTGCAGTCAATGCTTGGTAGTGGTAGAGTCAGGCACCTACAGGTACAAATTCATTGCTACTGAGCTCTGATATCAGATAGATGGGGTGCCCCAAACATGGAGACCAGAGACTGGTCTCAGATTTTATTCAGCTTTCTGTAGGTTTGTGATTAGAGTTGGTCTAGACCACAGGAACCAGATGAGTCCTCTGCACAATCTAATGGCGCTTTTCCACTGCGTGGTATGGCTTGGCTCAGTACGGCTCTGTTTGCGTTTCCACTGCAGTTTAGTATCGCTTTGGAGTGGGTGGGATTCGCATGTCGTTAGTTGAGCTGCCTCTACTGTCGTGACTCCTGAAACTTTTTCATTCTGCGTTGCCCCATCAAGCTCTCGCTGGATCCGCTCCTCTGCTATCAAAGAAAGGAACGTCTGTACTTCCTCAAGAGACCACGAAACAGCCACTTTTTGGTTGTTAAAAAAGGTGTGCTTGTTCGAAACGGTTGCGTTCGATCCTTCGCTGGCTGTGCTGATTTAAATCTAGTGGTTAAGTTGTGACTGTGCCGTACAATAAGACTGGCTCAAAGATGGCCGTTGTCACGGTCTTGTGACCAAAGGTAGCCTACGATTATTTTCTGACAATGTCAAATTCCGCATGATCATCACAGTGTGTTTGCTGCTACGATCCACATTTACTGACCAGCCAATAAAACTGCAACATGAAATCAACGCGACATGGCTCTAAAACTTAAAACTGCTTACCTCAAGCTTTTATTCCTTCCTCTTTCACCACTTCCACATTTTAAGCACACAAAAACTACAACTGTTAAAGTGTGGTTCATCATGCTCTTTTTGTTTACCACTAGCACATGCTGATGACGTTTTATTCTTATATAGTAACATGTCGTAGCGTAAGAGTCAATAGGTGTCATCATCGTACAGTCTACATGCATGTCGTACCCAAGTTTATTAGATGCATGTCTGCACAGTGTGATCCGCAATGGTCTTATAGGGTTGTTAAAATCGTGCAGTGTGTAGAATGCTTTAGTATATATAGTTTTGTTTGATTAAAGCTTGTGTCTCTGAGGAGCAGAACAGGGAGTCCATGACCTGCAGGAGTCGATCTGCTGTGGCTTGAGCTCAAATCAGACAGATGGCGTGCACCCCGATCTCAGTACAGTTACAGGGATGGTTTGTCATAGGGGCTCTGGATAAAACATTATCAAGTGGTTCAAATGTTTGAGACTAGTATGTTCCAGTGTTGTGAAGCGCCTTTTGAAATTTTAGTGTCCCTTCACATTATCATGAAGGTTTTTTTTTTTTATTTGATCACTTCAAATCTACTTTTGGTAGTAATGCAGGAGCCTCCATCCTCGTGTGCAGACCTGACTCATGAAGGTAGGCAAGTGCAGATAAGGCACTTTCTGCAACTTTTTAATTAATTTTTTTTCAATTATATACTCATATGGATTTTCTATTTTCTGTGCCCTCCACTCTTACAGTGGTTTGGCACCTCCATAGTCCCAGAGCTGAAGCTGCTGTCCGCTCATCTTTGGCTGGACTGAGACCTTGATTCTACCAGAGGACATGACTTCATTTTCTTCCAGACCACACACTAAACAAGTATGTTTGCTTTCTGTAATATCTTGAAAGATATTTTTCTGTTTAAACAACTCCTTTTGTATTTCAGATCCATTTTAACTTCACGTGTACTTCTCCTCAGGTAAGCTGGGATCTTTGAGTTGGATGTGTTATCCTTTACATTGAGTACTTCGGTATTTACCTGAATAAGCCTCATGTCATCAAAGCTTTTTTTTTGCCTCATTTGCACTTGGCCTTTGGAAATGTGGAGAACATTGGTTCAGTTTCTTATTCCATTTAAAGAGCCATATTCAACCAGACACGGATGCACTTCTCACACCATGAACAGGTTTCCTTCTCTTAAATACCTAGAAATTTGCTCTCTATTAGGGCTGCACGATAAATCGCATGCGATATTTAACGCGCATCTTGTCAGAAAGACGGTTCTGTAATCAGCGTAAATCTCCATCACCTGCGGGCTTTCACATTGAGCAGCATTAACTACACAGAGCCGTTGTT